AATAAAACTAATTAAACATGAAATAAACTTAATATAGCACAAGGTAATACCAATATAATACAAAGAAAAATTAAATATATGAAAAGAACCAATTAAAATATAGAAATAAAATACATGCTAAATCTTAATAAAATAATTTATATTAAGCATGTATTACAATATAAATCTAATTTATAATAAAGAACCAATTAAAATATCTTAATAAAAACCAATTAGATTCTTAATAATTACTGTTCTTTGTCAAATACTATTATTATATGAGATAAATATTGAGCTTCTCATGGTAAATAATATATAATATGTTATAATAGTAATAATATAAGAATTTATTAGGAAGAAATTCATCAGTATTATTGCTAGTAATCTGATCAGAGTTAATTGTTGAAAACCAGTTGGTAATTTTATTGGTGTTTGAAGCTGCTTTTCTTCAAATTGCTCTTTTGTTTTATAAAATTAACAGGGCAGAGCCAGTATAAAATAATTTTTATCTCTTTGTTATCCATATATCTGGTTGTTTGATAGTTTTAACAAGTTTTTTAAATGCATTTGGTTTCAGCTTTCCCAATTTCTCAATAAATTGATTATTATCCAAAGACTCGCTTTCACCATTTGACCACCTAATATCAAAGCATTGTTTATCATAATTTGATTCAGAATTTGATGTTTCCTCATCAAACCTTGACTTGATACTTTTTGATAGTGACTATGCAATGTCTAGCACGTTTGCTTCATTTTGGTATTAGAGTCGCTTGAGACAGAAACAGAAAATTGATTTTGATTGAGACAGAAGCAGAAAATTGATTTGCTTGAGATGAACTTCACTCGAGAAGGAAGCAGAAAATTAAGTTGCTTAAAATGAAACGGAGAAGGAAATGCTTAAATATTTCACCAGCCCAACCAAACATAGGCTAATCCTAATCCAACCAGCAACAAACTCTAACAATATCCCAACTAGCCACAAGTTCCCAAAGTGAAAATAATACAAGGCAAAGCAAACATCCATAGCCAAAGTAGAAAATAATACACTCATCCCCTAGTCAAAGTGAAAAATAATATGAAGCGAACATAATAATACTCACCCCCTAGTGGAAAATACTCGTACAAAGCAAACATGTACCTACCCCCAAGTCAAAGCCACTCATGTATCGTCAATTACTATAATAAATGCTATCACGTTACTAACAAATGCATGCAATATTATTTGTCGCATCAATTATTATGCTATCTTACATTGCATACAGAAATTTCAGCGATGGCGCAGCATTTGATTATTATTATAAACAGGTATATTTTTTGACTATTAAACAAAAATCGGTATACAAAAAATTAACTAAATTCGTTTGTTTCCTATTATCATAACATATACTAATGCATATAGCCCCAAATATTTTCAAATTCATATGCAAATCGTTCAAATGATGCAAAACAGTATTATTCATATTGTCCGGGTGCTATATAATATTTGTATAACGCAGTCATACCAAATATTCTAAAAACAAGACACAATAATCTCTCAAACAAATCACACGACAAATACCTCGTGTCCCTAACTTGAACCTTATTACAGTTATCTTATTAACAACGAATCTCTTTCTCTTTATACAAGCCAAATTACATTCGAATTTCTATTATCACGTATGCGATCTCATCTAAAACCATTGAATAACTCACAAGCCACGTCTTCCCATTCTCCCTTAGATATTACAAATCATTTCTTCTACGAGTTTCTATCTCACTGCCACGCACTAAGTATTATTATCGTTATCGTTATTGTTTCAGATCCAAATTAATAAATCAATGGATTATCGAATTGTATTTCGCCACATTCCTCTATAACGTTAAGATACGTATTTTGTTTGGGATACAGATATTCATGTTGATATAATATAGGCAAAATCTTAGTTTTCTTTCAACAATTATGAATAATATTTGGAGCAATAGCATCAGCCGTAAACAATATTACATCAAGAATAATGGAATAAGATTTTTTCATTAGGTTTGTGTTATTTTCATTTATAAAGTGTCCGCATAATTTTGATCGCCTTCTGTATTATAAACATTGACCCCATAATAAAGCAATCAACCATGTTTATTTATTTGGTTTCTTGTGGCTGTTATGAATTAGAGTTTTTTCATTGAAAATTGCATTTCTCCCCACATTTAGGTTTTGATTCACAAGAAATCCCCAAAATGAACAACCTGAAGGATTATATCGAAATAAAGGGTGCTATCTTGATTCTCGAAGTCTCAGGGTAATCATTTATCGTAGCCGATCATCGAGTTTATGTTAAAGCCAATAAATCTCGAGAATTTCGACCTTAACGTTAACCGTTTCCGCACGGAAAGTAATGGTGGTAACACTGACTATCGGGATTTTTTGCCAAACAGCGCGCGCAACACGTGTAACCTATTTCACAGGTTGCACATCATTCTTTGTTTTACGACCAGAATGTAAACAAAAAACGTCTAACATCCAAGCGTGAGGCTGTGAAGAAATTATGGCGAAGTGGCTGAAGGCACATTGCCCTACTTAAATTGGTTTATTTTTGACCGCCATTACTTTCCGTGCGAACTGTGCCTTTGAAGAGTTCGAATGTATTAACGAACTTCTCAAAACACATACCTTAGAACATTTATAGTCGACAGAATGGCGACGTTAAAAATCATCACAAGGAGGGTTCGATTTCAACATTGAAGGTCAAAGAACAATTAGAGCACCAGATGTCTCATTTACACCTAGAACTATATCCCGCAAATTGACGCCATTACAGGGTTGGACCAACCATTCACTCCTATCTTTGTTGTTGAAGTTGCAGGTAGATCAGATTTCGAAGCGTTAGACAAAAAATCCAAAAGTGAATACTTCACGATGGGGTCATCTGTGCAATTGGGATGGTTGGTTGATCCAGTGAATAAACATATCTATATATAAGAGGGGGTAACGGCGTCACAATTATGGGTGGGAAAGTGTTGATGGTGATGTTTTGCCAGGTTCCACACTGAAGATGTGGAAAATTGAAGATGCTATATCATAAGTAGGTTTTATTTTGTCTTATACTCCTGCTTCTATATTAATATTGTATCAATTGTCCACTTTATCATCAGAACAACCACTCAACTGCCCTAAATGTGATGAAATCTTTCAGATTGTGAGTGAATACGCAATCAAAAACTTTATCCGTCAATAAAAGAATACCGAACAATATATCGATACTATTGGTCAGAACTCGTGGATCTCGATATTCAAGCAAAAAACTGTTCCTTGAATGTGTTCCATAATTCTAAATGGCTTCTTGTTTTTAACTCGAATTGCCATGGAGGTTCTTTGGTGCTGTTTTCATTGTTTTTATTTTTGCTCCAATATTTTCAGGAGTTCTGATGGCCATACTTTTCGGAATTTTTCTTTATAATGTTCTTTCACCAAGTTTTGAATAGATGCTGGCACAGAAGTTTTTCCGAAAAAAAACAAAAAAAAGAAACTCCTCCCCATCCTCCTAATTGCTTTATTCTTTATAGAATAGACCAACAAGCATCAATGAAAGAAGCTTATCCCGATCTTTTTCAAAAAGAATAGGTAAAAAGTGGTGGGGAGAGGGAGCTTGAAACTAAAGAGAAATATAAAAAAACTCGCTGAGGAAGCTATGCTGGAGCATAGGAAAAAGTACCCGAACTATAAATATCATCCTTGTAGGAAGTTAAAAAAAATAGACGTTGTTTCTAATGAATCACAATTACCTAATCAATTAAATAATATCGCTATAATGATAGTACTTTTGACTTTGATTTTAGTTTGCTTCCTAATTTTTCAGATACATGTAGTCAATTTAATTTTACCGATAATAGTGCGGATTTTTTATTTAATTTGTTTATTCAGTGGTTACAATTGAAACATTAATTCTTCGGTATACATGTATATACAAATTACATGTATGTAGATTACTCAATTCTAAATAGAGATTAATCACTTCTGATTAAATATAACGATAACGATAACGATAATATACGCTTTGGCTTTGTTAATTGGAGTTTATTTAATCATTTTTATTATAACTTTGTATGAGATTTAATTCTCAATACTGAAATCTCATGGATAAAATGGATAAAAAGATTTTTGCTCTTTTGTTAAATCAATTAATATTGATATCTGGATTGAAATCGATTTTGTTTTTAAACATAACGATAACGATAACGATAACGATAACGATAACGATAACGATAACGATAACGATAACGATAACGATAACGATAAC